AAAAACTTTATCTAAACAAACCCACACAGCCAGCACAAAACCTCCTGTTACCCTCTAAAACAAACACAATAGAGTCAGTTTTACTCTCAGTAAAACTCTTCTCTGATCTCTAATCTCTGGCAGGCCATCTGCGTGAAGGACGTGTCTCCAAACCTGAAGAGCTGCGAGCTGCTGCGGGACGGATCCGGCACCTTCCAGTGTAAGGCCGACGTCTTCCTCAGCCTGGACTCCCTGGACTGCCTGTCCGCGTGAGTCCCGTCTCTGCCCTCCACCTCCTCCAAATCAGCAACACCTCATCCGAAAAGGGAAGAAGAAGAAGAAGAACCAACACATCCAAACGGAGGGATGGATGAGGATGAGGATGAGGATGCGGAGGACGAAAGCTTTAAGGAAAATGGAGGTGGGAAGGAATCCGATCCCTGTCGACGACGGACCGCTGCAGACTCTGAATGTCCTCTTTTTAAGTTGAAACAAGAAAAAGAAAAAGAAAAGCGTTGTTCAGTTTAGCTTTGGTTGCGTAAAAGAAAAAACTAAAGAAAAAAAATCTTTGCTGAAGCGTGTTAGTCGAAGCCATTTTCATTCCAGGAGACTTTCCATCCTCACTGTTTGACCCCGTCATTTACCTGCGTTTCCAGGCTGTAAAATGACCAGAAAGTGTGCAGATTTCCTGGAAAGTACTTGTATTTATTTTATCTATTAAAAATGAACAAACACTGGTAATTTGTCTGGTTTTGTGATCTGAATGAACCGAGATATAAATCAAGATCAGCAATAGTAGTAATAGTTTCTAAGAAACAAATCTAACATGACATCTGTTAAAAAACACTATGAATGCCTTTAATTTATTTTGTACTGAAGTGTCAGAGCACAACACAATATATTACATTAAAAGACAATAAGAGTTTAGGAAAACAGGAGGCAGAATGCAGCAGAAGCCCATTTCTCACAGGCTGCCATATTCAAACAAACAAAGGCACTTTACATTCAGGCACTTTGGGGCTTTTTCTTTCCTGTCTATCAGTCATTATTCTACTAACAGTCTCGGGGGATCCCTCACAACAAAGTCAGGCAAAGTTAATTCTACAAATCACACACGAAAGATTAGAGAGGAGTCGGGGGGGAACGGTGACGGTCCCAAATGAAAGGCGGGGAAATTAAACTTGAGTCAGAGGCGCGTCTCTCCGTCTCTGTCGAGTTTGATGAGAGTCAGAG